TTATAGAGGCTCATGACATGTTAGATCAAAGTTTTATTATATTAAATATAGGGTATTTCTCTCACTTATTGAAATACTTGAATTCATGAATTCAGTACATTTTATTATTACATTTATTCACCACTCATCTTGTCATGAATTCAGTATGCTTCCCAACCTTTGGGACACATACCAAAACTGATGAAAAAATATTACTGTACATGTTGCAGCCTGTTCTAAGGCGGCACCATGCAACGTGGTTCCTTTCCTTTGCATTTTAACATGGGGATGTGTCAGCTTCTCAATGGGATTTTAGTAAAAATCTGAAGCCAGCAAGAAATTTTGGCACAGTCCTAGCAAAAAGTTGCTAATATACTAAGCAATTTGGAGAGAAGTACTGGCAGCGTGCCTCTTCCTTATAAACTACTGGCAGGGCTAATATACTGTGAAAATATATGGAAATGCAGAACAAGCAAGCTGTATACTTTAGTTTGGTGTTTTAGTTTTGATTCTGGGTTTAAAATTTATTGATGTCATTTTTAAGCCCTGCATTTCTTGTTGTTAAATTTATAAACTCTGCCCTTGATTCTGCTGTTCAGGATTATGAATTAATTTGAAGTTAGGCTTATCTGGGTTTAAGCCACATAATCATAAATCTTTCAAATTATGTGTGGAAAGATTAATTTTATTACAGAGTAGCCCTAGCCCATAATACAGGCTTAGAGGAGGCTTAGCACTATCCTTGACAAGAAATATACACTTCTGATGTTGGTAAGGGCTGTTGGCTGAGTGCCTGAGTTAATTGCTGAGTTAGTATAGCATGAAAACACAAGCAGAGTTACATTGCAGGCAATCATTTCTGTATCAGTGCAAAACATGGAAGATATTAGGACAAATGAAGGAGAGTTTCCACTTGATACCATTTTGCTTGTGCTTAATAGCAGAAACTTTCATTAAGGCATGGAAAGGTTATTGCTGCCAGACACTTAGTGAGGGGTTCTCAGACAAATACTGTGCCAGCAAATCCATCTTTATTACACCAACCTATTCATGATGTGGTATGGCTGTGGTGATCATATTTTCCTGGGGGAAAAAAAATATAGGACACACCGGAAAAAGGGGAAAATCTGAAAGAGGTTCATAAGGATAAAAATTTTAAATTATTTGCAAAGGAAAATTCAAGAACAAAACCAAGAAAAACTTTATCAAAATATCCTAATAAAGATATCTAAAACCAAGCAGCATATTTAAATTCATTTCAAAAAAGACAATTCGGTTTGCATGTTTTTTTCACAAGAATTGAAAAAGTGCATTTTGTGGTGCCATTTGTATGGTACAAGTTGAATGACCAAATTAAAGGACAGAAGTGAGTTTTTAAAAAAATACATAAATCTAAAGCACAGCTTTCTGAAATAAAGGACTACCTATGATAAAGGATGCACAGTCACTGTAGGTTGGCAAAAAGCACTGTTGTACTATAAACGACTTCTGCTACTTTATTAGATTTTCCCATCTTTATTACTTTATAAGTAACTCAAGGTGGCAAACATACCTATTACTTCTTTCTAATCCTATTTTCCCCACAACAACAACCCTGTGAGATGGGTTGGGCTAACAGACAATGATTGGGCCAAAGTCACCCAGCTGGCCTTCATGCCTACTGCAGGACAAGAACTCCCAGTCTCCTGGTTTCTAGGCCAACCAACACCTTAACCCTTATACCAAATTGGCTCTCAATAGACCCAAACTCTGTCTTTACAAAATAGATAAATAAAATAAAATAAAATGCCATCCTGTGACTTCAAGAAACTCTCATGCTTGAACATTCAGGCAATTTTTTACTGTGTAATCAGTATGTTATATGATACGTTCTAAAAAATGTGGAAAAAATGTTCACCTGTTTTAAATGATCTTTTATTACAGAATCATTTATTGTATCTTGAAAAGAAAACACATTAGGGAAAGAGCAGTAGCATGGAAATGGAAGGATTCCCTCCACCACCACCTCCTGAAGGTAATATAAATAAAAAAAGTATGGCTGTTCATGCTAAATTGAAAATGCCTGCATTTTAAAATATTTGAATTTATTTATTTTGTGCCTTTAAGTCATTGTTGACTCCTGGATACCGTCTGGCCTATTTCTTGCAATTTCTTTAGAAAGATTTTTGGAAATAGTTTGCCACTGCCTTCTTCCAGGGGCTCACAGAGAGGGACTGGCCCAAAGTCACTCAGCTGGCTACATGTCTCAAGCGGGACTAGAACTCATAATCTCCTAGGTTTTAGCCTGGTGCCTTAACCACTACATCAAGGTGGTGGTCTTTAAAATAATTCTTTAAATGGTGTTTTACTATTCTGAATTATCTTATTTTCTTCACTGCATTATTTGTTTTCATAAACTCATAGGGAGAAGATTCTGTGTCAAGCATGTGTTTTGGATTTACTTAAGATTCCATTGAGTGATTTCATTCATTGGCACTGGTTATTAAAGATGAGAAGTTGTTTCTAGTAATTTTTTCATTTGTTATATATTATCTCCTATCTGGAACTGGATCTCTATTATTGTGGGATGTAACCACAATATTGTGGTTACGCTATTGCAAGGTTGTTTACAGTTTTTATTTAGGGTGGATAAATCAATATATGTGATGGGAAAGAGCCAGTGAAAACATATGTGAATGTATAATTTTCTGGAAAATGTTGACTTAACATGGTTTGCAATCTCTTTTCTGAATTAGCTATATCTGTTTGTGTTCTGGCTAGGATTTTAACCGATTAAATGGAATCATTGGGTGAAGTCATCCATTTGTTTAGGGTCAGGAATCATCAATGGCCCCTAGGGCAAAGAAGTTATTCTGTCCAAGTCCTGGCTCAATACCTGGAGCCTGTGCAGAATTGGATGGGGAGGAACAGATTCAGGTCTAATTGTGATAAGAACTTATTATCTGTGTCTGGGGATATTCCATTTTTAATATTCAGTGAGGTTACTGTTCCCTTTGGTTACAGTCTGGAGGTCCTCTTGGGCTGAGAGCTACTGAAAGAGAAATAATTTTTGTACAAGTTCATCTGGTGTGCTTGTTATACCTCTTTTTTGACGAGGAGGCCCTCTAGAATCAGGAGATCAATTACACCTTGGTCCCTCACAATTGGATTACTGTAAAGCCTTCTATATGGGGCTGCCTTTGAAAACTATTCAGAAGTTATACTTAGTGTAGAATTGGTAGTTCAGGCAGTGATGGTCGTGTCATGGTATGTGTCCCCACTGCTTTGTGTGATTTGCAGTGTTATCAGATGGCTTCTGGGTGCAATTCAGTATACTGGTTATTAGTAACTATAAAGCTCTTCACGGCATCAGCCATCTGATAACACTTGAGGAACTGCTTGTCTCCGTATGTTTCTACCAGTCCAGTGAGATCTGATAGAGTGAATCCTATTAAGCAAACAGTGTCATCTTGCAGGACCCAGAAAGCATGCCTTCTTGATGGTGGACCCTGTCCTCTGCAATGTTATGCTCAGAGAGTCACATTGCTCCCACTTTATTGAATTTCCACAAACTATAAAAAACGTGGTTGTTTTCCTGATCTCTGGGCTAGGATGATAGTCATGCCCCTTTGACTTTTTGGTTTTATGTGTATTAAGGTTTTCTGTTCAGCTGCACTCTCTTTTTGATATATGTTGTTTTCTTTTTAATTATAAGTGCCCAGAGTTACTGAGGACTTGGGCAGCTTCAGAATTTAATTTATTGAAAAAAATATGGTTTGCTCATTATTTTGATTCTTGACCATGAGACTCTCTGGCTTTGAAAAAAATAGTTTTTTCCCCCCTTAACTTCCAGAGTGCCTCAGAAGAAGTGTCTATTTCAGGCTTTTCTAACCTAATACTGTATATATATATACATACACAGTATTAGGTTAGAAAAGCCTGAAATAGACACTTCTTCTGAGGCACTCTGGAAGTTAAGGGGGGAAAAAACTATATATATATATATATATATATATATCATTTAAAACTCTAAAAATTTTAAAAGCTGGAGGTTGACTCCTGGGTAAAT